TTTTCAGGTCATTCAGAAACGAGAGGATGATGTGGATTTTTACAGGACTTGGGATGAGTATCAGCATGGATTTGGAAATACATCTAAAAGCTACTGGCTAGGTTTGTCTGTGTATTTCTTACATTATCAGTGACGTAGCGCCCTTTACGTAACAACGCTAATGAATACACAGATTTTCAACCACAAATGATTTCGAAAGTTTAATCATGGATAGAAGTAAAAATTATATTAAATTTGAAAAGAAAAAAATACTTAGCCTTTCCAGATTTATTTTATTCGTACATATTATCCATAAAATTTGTGAGCTTTTTAATGGATTTTTGACACAGTTTTCTACTCATTTTACCTAATTTATTTATTTATTTATGTTTTAATTTCAGGGACAATTTTTTTTACATACTTAGATTCAAAGCAATTATATAAACAATTCATTCCCCTGGTATTTGAGATAAAAATTTACTGCGATGCACGAGTTCTTTATTTAAAAAATAACAATCAATAATTGAAAATGTAACAGCATTTTAAATGTATATTCGATGTTTGTTGTTGGATATCGCACTCCTGAAATTATAAATATTAAAAAAAAAAAAAAAAAAAAAAAAAAAACTCTTGGGAAATATCTTCCATATCACAAATTGATTTTTCTGTTTAAAATTTTTAATTTATTTTTTCAATTCTCTACTAGCTGCCTCTCTATTAATATTCAATACAATATTGCGATGAAGATACATTTAAAGTGCCTTTGCTGCCACATAGTACTTTGTAATTCTAATCTTAAAAATAACATCTGTGAAAATATCAGTTTTATTCAAGGGATAATACAAGTATGATCTGTACTATTTCACTGTTGAAAATTAAATGCTTTCATACTAACGGCTATTGAAGAAACAGATTTTGTGAATTCTGTCAAAACTCAGCTTTTTTTTTCATATATAGTAAAATTACGATAATAAAAAATTAAAAACAATATTACAGGAGCTTCCGGGGGCTTCGCCCCCTGGGCCCCCAACCAGGACCCTGCATGCCCTGGACCCGACCCCATGCCTTTTTTTGAATACAGTAAGTTTTTGCTAGTTTCGCTAGTTTAACGAATGTTGATCGATAAAAAAAACAAAAACAAAACAAAACCTTCGAACCATATAACCTATGGCACAATTCTAGCCAAAGAAATACGTGTATAGAATGAACTAAAAGACATAAACCACATATGCAGGTGATATTGCTACATTAGTAAGGGAATTTTAAGATAGAAAAATTAACATCATCACTTTTATCATCAAGTCTTCTTGTTAAGTTACGATGAAATATTTGGAGATAACGAACAGTATTCGACCTAAAAAGTCCAATATACATTACAAAATAGGAGCAGAGCAAACACGGACCTCTAAGACATCAGAGGTGGGATCAGGTGCCATGGAGGAATGAGCATTCCCTGCTGATCAGTCACACCCGCCGTGTGCTCCTTATCATGATTGGGAAATAACGGAAAAATCCGTCCATACGTCAGTGTGTAAATAATAGCCTAACAATTAGTAGGAAAAAAGTCAGTCAACATTTGACTTAATAAAATATTGTATTTGCTCATAGTATCAACCATAGAACTCACGAAATGATGACTTTAAACGAGACAGCCGATATTCTTGTTTTATCAACTTGTTTGTCAATAACTTACCTCGTTTTAGAAATTGTTCATACGTAGAGCATGCTCTTCCGTATCGAATCAACTGAGAGATATAGACCCCGTATGCAGGTGATGAAGGTATATTGCTGCATAAGTAAGGGAAGTTAATGATTGAAAAGTTAAAGTCATCATAAAGCTTTGTTGTTGGTTTACCATTAACCCTGACGTCTTTTTCTAGTAAAATATCGAAATATGAAACAGATGTGTCAGACTCTGTGGTATCTTTTATCTCAAGCTCAACGGGATATATCGTATCGACATAAGAATGGAAATGACCATTGTTAATTGACAATACGTCGTCCATATATCTAAATGTCGTGTTGAAGGCCACAACAAGTGTTTTCTTCTTTTCGGGTAAAAGAATTTGAACAAATTCTGTTTCATATGAATACAAAAAAAGGTCTGCTAATAACGGGGCCCAATTGGAACCCATGGAAATTCCAAAAGATTGTTGGAAGACCTGGTCTCCAAAAACCACATAGATATTGTCAATAAGAAACTCAAGCATCGTTTTAATGTCAACTTCAGAGTACTTGCGTGTATTATTTTTTTTTAACAAAGTAACTTTGCAAACGACCTATGACAAGTGGGTATATATACGAGTTCCATTTTTATTGAAAAAGCAGCTGTCATGGATGTCAAAAAGTCTGGACTTTAATTTATCGTGGGGAATAGTTGTATTTAAAGTTGAAAAGTCGTAAGTTTTTATGTTGTTACTTTTGGTAAATTTGTGATTTCAAATGTTCCAAAAGTTCCTTGGAATATTTTATTATCCACCTTTGATTTACTCCACTTCTCAAATATATTGTTGCACAGTACTCTTGAAGTTTCTCCTTCACTACTGTTTATTTCTTAGTGAGGGGTAAAGAAAGAGGCTTGGTAGAACATTTACTGGAACCCGCTATGTATCTTTGTTTGTAAGGATTTTTATGAAGTTTCGGAATCCAATATGGATATGGTAATTCAAATTCATTTTGGTTGTTAGGAATATCAAAAATATTCAAAATTGACATATGATTTTGAAGAATTTCCTCCTTAGAAAGGGAGCTATGGGTATAAGTTAGATTTCAACTTGTAGAATTAAATCCCAGTTCCTCTAAATTACAATTTATATAATGAGCCTAACAAACAAAGACAATGTTGTTACCTGTTTTGTCAGCAGGGACCAGTACGTACTCAACGTGTAATCTATTTAATTCTTTTTTCACTTTTGAATTATTGAATACAGAAGGATAGATGGTTTTCATACTGCCCCTCAATCGTTTAATGCGAGATTTTAACATACATCTGATACATTTAATCCATTCTGACAAAGTGTCAAGATCTTTTTCATGTCTGACCCAATGTCTGGCGTAATCCTCTGCAAAATCCATAATGTTAGTGAAATTGCGACGCCAGTCAAAGGATCGGGGTTCCCTATATTTAGGACCTTTTAGTGATCTAAGTTCCTCATTATTAACTATAATTACGTCACCAGATATAATGTGTCCAGCAAGACTATAGTTATAGGTGAAAAAAAAACATGAACACGAAGGGGGATTATGTGTCAGATATTCGATATCCAGGCCCTGTAAAGTTTTCTTGTAATTAAAAAGTTTGGAAGCAACATGTACGTCTTTTTTAGTAAAATATCCAAATAGCTAATTAGCTCGATCCGTTGCATTAAAATTGTAAGAATTATACTTAGTAAATCTTTACTAAGTAGGCATCAGAATCCAATTACAATGTTACACTTAAATAAGAATTTCAATTACTTAACCGTCACGGTAGCTCAGTCGGTAGAGAACTCGCTCCGTGATCGGAAGGTCGTGTCTTCGAATCCTGGCCGTGACTGGCCTAAGTCGATAAAAATTAGGTAGCAACTGTTCCTTCGCCAAGCGCTCGGCACTTTAAAATGAAAGTTGCGGGTCCTTCGGATGAGACCTTAAAAACGGGAAAAAAAAGAATAAAGTATAATAGTAAAAAACGGGCAAATCAAACTCGCTTTCATCGACTGGAATATTAAAACAATTTAAAAATCTGAAAATTGATTTTGAAAAAGCTCTTTTGAAAGGGAATTGTGGCTTTAAATTGCATTACCAGACATAGAAATAGAACCAATTTCTTCTAAAATGCAGTTGCAATAATGAGCCTTACAAATTTTGTTACAGGCTTTGTTAGTTTGAATCTATGAACTAACTTTCTATATACATGCACTTGAAGTTTTTTTTTATTAGTATTATTTTCATCACTTCCGGTCTATTAAAATAGATAGTAAGGATAGACAGTAAGCATCATGTACCTTATTTCTTTCATAAAGAATTCTTCCCATTTAAAATTAGGGAAAAAAAATTATCCCTGGCCCATTCCTAAGGACACAAATATTGAATGAATACGAACTGGAGCATTTACTTAGTTGATAGCATATTGATATGAATAATTCGAATTTTCAAAAAAAAAAATTCTTAGGTACACTGGTATTTCTTGTGAATATTTATTTTTAATTCAGAATTAGCCTATATTCTGGGGCCATGGTTTTTATAGAACACTGGTAAACTAACTGTAAATGATAAGATCCAAAATCAACTAAATTGTATGACAAACGGAATATTTTATTTTACAAATGCATATGTTGATTATGTTCCCCACCTTATTCGATACTCAATATCATGCTCTGAGTATGATCAATGTCTTAAACCGAGGCAGGTTACTGACTTATAAATTGATGTTACAGGGATTTCAACAACCTCGTTTAACGTCAGCGTTTCGTAAATTCTATGGTTGTTGTAGTGACTCTTTTTAGCAAATATAACCTATCTGGAGTCGTATTCTGACTAAGATATTTAATACCAGTATTACGCCTGTTTTTTATTCTAAATCTGAATTCGAGATATTCCCTCTACCTGATCAAAACATAGGGCTCGCGGTTGTGACCGGTTGAAAGGGGATGCTGACTTCTCCAAGGCAATTGATTTTACTTAAGAATTTCAGAGTTTCCGTGTTTCATACCTTCTTCACAGTTTTGAATTGTGTGTAGATTGTTTTTAGATCAATCACCGTTCGTTATTTTCACGTTTACTATTTTAATATGCAATATTTGAATCTCGGCACTATTTCTCGATGTTTAAATAATTTAATTATTTACATTCTGGGCATCCTGTTATTGAAAATTAAAAATCTTACGTCAAATACGAGCTGTGTACCAGTTAAGTTTACCTTATAAAATCTTGAGGTAAGCAAAATTGTTTGGATCATCCTTCGATATTATATTTCGATAATACTCTTTTACACTATAATATGATAAAACAATACATTTGTTTTTCTTTATTTCTTATTATAGGAAATGACGCAATCTATGAATTGACAAAGAACAAGGACCAGGAACTCAGAGTTGAGTTACAAAGTTTTGATGGCGCTGAAGCACACGCACTGTACTCCTCTTTTTATGTTGGCAACGAAAGCAGTAAATATACATTGACATTGTCCGGCTATTCAGGCACCGCGGGTAGGTCTATTTAAAATATTCTCAATCAGATTATTACATGATGTAAAAGTCATCACAAGTGATTGAAGAATCAATTGCAAGTAAACAAAAGAAGAATCGGTCTATATATACAATGATTTAATGATAACAAATACTTGACAGAGTTTAGTCTCAAACAACAGTATTAACTACAAAACAACCACTCAGTGATAGAGTGAGGTATAAATTTATGGTTTTTAGGTCAAAATTGTAGGTCTTTCTTTTTTCACTTTAAAATTTAATGAAATATTTATCATGTTTTCAATGAAGAAGAAACATTATTAGAGGCTTAGGCCTTTTGCATAAACATTACAAATCATATTTCAGAATGTATTGATTCAATACTTTTTCTAGAATGTGATGTGTCATTAAATATATTAAGTAAAGTAATGCATTTGAATAAATCACTGTTTGTTATCTTCATATTTCTATTAAAAGCTGCAACGAAAATCTGTAAAATGGAAAAAAAATTCTAATAACTTGATTCACCTCTTAACATAAGGTGGGTTTTATTTTTTAACTATGATGGCAGCATTGCGATCAGTCACTTGTTAAAACGTCAAAATTAAATGAACAGGTTTGTTTTGATTTAGTAAATTGTTTTTTAAATGTAAATTATTCTATACTTTTCTATTTTAAATAATTGCTTTTTTGCGTGATATCACACATTCCTGTATAAATTAGTCCCGCCTTCTTTATATACGCAGTTTTGACAATGCTCCGTATTACAGATATCTCTATCACTAATACATTGCGTGTGGATGATTTTTAGTAAAAACCCCAACAATGACAGCTTTAAGTGTATATTAACATTCCACATGTATTTTGCTTATAAAGTGTAAGGAAAGCTAAGGCATTCAACACACCATAACACAGACAGGGGGTCAAAAGGTTAAAGTATGCGTTTTATTTTTACGTCACAAACGTTGAGCGCTGTGGAAATGCAACGTCATAAGCAAAATCAAAATTCACGCTCACATTGAACAGAAGGCTGTTGCAACGGTTCTTCCATTAACTGTAACTTACCCGAAGGATAATACAGGAATTTTGAAATATAAATCACATTTGCAATTAAGAAAAATAGTTAAAAAAAATGTAAATATAAGAATTGAATCATTATTTTTTGAAAGCTATAGTCTCATAACTGCAACGGTGTGTGCAAACAAATTTTCATAACGCGCTAACGCGCGTTACTCAATTTGTTTGCACACATCGTTGCAGTTATGAGACTATATCTTTCAAAAAATAATGATTCAATGCTTAATTATACTTGTGTTTTAATCCTTTTTTTTATTTCAATAAGCATCAAAATTTGATAATACCAATATTCTGTCGCAGGTAACAGTTTGGGTTATCACAATGGAATGAAATTTACCACTAAAGATCAGGACAATGACAACAAGATAAGTGTTAACTGTGCTGTAGGATTTCACGGAGCCTGGTGGTACAATGCCTGTACAAGTTCAAACTTAAACGGGAAGTATGCACAGTCTACTGTGACTAGTTATCAATGTCCGTATTGGTTTAGCTGGACCAATGGATATATAGCACTAAAAAGGACTGTGATGATGATACGACACAGAAACTAAATTTATTATTTCATCCTGACATGGTGATATTAAGTTTATCATTATACACGCACTTTCTAAAGAAAGTTCGAATACATAGTTATACTGGTCCGTCCGTCCGTTTATTTTACTTTCTTCTTTCTAAAACTCCTCTTTTAATTTTATGAGTTACAATGTACTTACTCTGTAGATGTGCAATTAGTTTTAATTGCACCCTTGTGGCCAAATGGAGACTATCAACGAGGTTTGCTACAAAAACCTGGTTTCCAAAACTTCTCTTACATTTACGAAAGTACCGTAATCATCCATAGGAAGGTGATTGCTGTCCAGTTGATGTGCAATTAAGTTTCAGAATTTTCTTCTTTTTTTCCGAGAACTCCTGCTACATTGTATGCAACAACCAAATTATCTTTTTGAAGGTGATTGGTGGGGCATGTAGATATGCAAGGAAGGAATTTTCAGTTTTACAATGGGGGTCAAATGATGTAACAAGAGACCCATGCTCACCTGAGCATATTGGCTAGAAGAAATCAGTTCAGTATTGAACAAGGAGGGGGGGACTTAAATTTACACTACCCCAGGATGATTCTATATCAATATTACTTATCATGGCTTTGCTGTTCTTAAAAAAGTAATTTTAAAGATTGTTTTCCTATTTATTCCTATGTAAAACTCTGATCGCTCATTGTGGCCCCAGCCTACCCAACCTAAATTTGAAACTAAAATACCTGAGGATGCTTCTATAATAATATGACTAATCATGGATTTGCTGTTCTTCAGCAGATTTTTTAAAGATGATTCCTATATATTCTTATGTAAAACTTGCCCCCCCCCCCCCAACCCATGGGGTCATAACTTGAACAAACTAGATTCTACAATATCTAAGGTTGCTTCTGTATAAATATGACTAATAATGGCTTGGTTGTTCTTGAGAAGAAGATTGTAAAGATATTTCCTATGTAACGTGTATGATCAGATTCTTACATGGGATATATAGATTTTCTTTTTACTTTGTCTGAGTTAATGATTGGAATGATTATTAAGACAGCTCTGTCTGGGGGTATACATGTATCACGCAGTACTTAAATTTTAAATTTTTCGGTGTTTGTATCTTTTATACTTTTATTTTGCTCTTACCCTTAAGGTTTTCCATCCTCTATCCTTAAATGTCGATCATATACATCATACTCTGATATTGATTTAATGCGTTTTACAGTAGAGGGGGATTTACCAAGAGAATGTTTCAAAAATGTAATTAACTAAGCAGTAATCAATTTAAAAAGATTGCATTGAAGTTTATGGGGACAAGCGATTTTTTAAAAATCCAAATTAAAATAATTAGAATATCAATAAATATATGGTGGAAAGATGCATTAAAACACATTAGAAATAGAATGACAATCGAAAACGATTTCTTTTTTACCAGATAAGTCTTTTAGAATTTTTTTTCATTAATTAAAAACAGAGGGAGATAACTCTTACAAAAATTCAAGGTCATATATTAGGACATATCCCACCCTTACATGCTTATAGTAATAAACTGGAATTATGTCTAAATATACTGACTATTCAACCCCTACTCATCCGTTATGTATTCAATTTCATTGAATCTGTTGCTATTAGGGATGGAATACCTTAACTTCTTTATTGCTGATTCAGCATCCAACTTCTTCAGCTAGCATCTGAATGCCTTACTTTCCAAAATCTTTGTCTTATATACCATTTGGCTAGTCCATTCCAAGGATTTTCAGGCCATTCCACTATCTGAAGTCTTCAATGCGTTTTACTCAAATCAAACATTTCACCTTTATATTCCTATGTAAAACTTTGACCTACTGTTGTTGTACCGCCCTACCCCCAGGGGTCATGGTTTGAACAAACTTGAATCTACACTACCTGAGGATACTTCTGTATTAATAAGTCTAATAATGGCTTAGCTGTTCTTGAGAAAAAGATTTTTAAAGGCATTTCCTAAATATTTCTATGGTAAACTTTGACCCCTGTTGTGGCCCTGCCCTACCCCCAGTGGTCATAATTGGAACAAACTTGAATCTACACTACCCGAGGATACTTCTATTATAATATGACTAATCATGGATTTGCTGTTCTTGAGAAGAAGATTTTTAAAGACATTTCCTATATGTTCCTATGTAAAACTTCCACCCCCTCTTGTGGCCTTACCCTACATGTACCCCCAGGGGTTATGATATGAACGAACTTGAATCAAGAGTATGTAATGAAGGTTTCACATAAGTTTCATCTTTTCATGCCCAGTGGTTCTTGAGAAGATTTTTAAAGGAAAACCAAATTTTCACGAATTCTTAATTATCTCCCCGTGAAAGAGGACGTGGCACTTCTTGTGAACAAACTTAAATCCCCTTCACCCAAGGATGCTTTGTGTTAAGTTTGGTTGTAATTAGCCCAGTGGTTCTTGAAAAGAAGTCGAAAATTTGAAAAGTTTAAAGACGACAGACGGACGCCGGACATTCCTTGATTAGAAGGCTCACTTGAGCTTTCGGCTCAGGTGAGCTAAAAATTCGTCATTTTCAACAACAACCCGGTCCCCAAAACCCCTTTTAGTCTTTTAGTAGTAGTATACAAATCACTTTTGGGAAGGGTACTGGTAGCATCTTGTAGATAATGTCTCAGAATTATCATATCCACTTCTACGGCAAATGGGCAAAAACTATGTTTATTCAACAAAAACTTGGTTCCCAGAACTTAGCATACATTTACATAGTAGCCAGTTCACCTTTTGGAAGGTGATTGTTAGTGACCTGTAAAATATGGAGATAACGAACAGGAATCAAGCTCAAAAGTCCATTGGAACAGTACAAATTGAAAGAAGAGAAAACAAAGACCTCTAAAAATATCAGAGGTGAGATCAGGTGCCATGGAAGATTGAGCATCCCTTTTTGATCGGTCACAGCCGCCGTGTGCACCTTGTCATGATCGGGAAAAGGGAAAAATCTGAGGACAATTCAGTTTGAAAATAACAGCCTAACAATTTGTATGAAGTACGCCAGTCAACATTCGACTTAAGGATAAATTGTTTTTGCTGACAAGGTCATAATATCGCCCAAAGAATTTACGAAATGTTGACTTTAATCAAGACTGTTCATACTTTTTTTTATCAACTTGTTTGTCAATAGCTTGTCTCGTTGCCGAAATTGTTCGTACGTAAAGCATGTTCTCGCGCATTGAATCAACTGGGAGACATAAACTCCATATGCATGTGATAAGGGTATATTGCTACATAAATAAGGGACGTTGACGATAAAAATAATAAAGTGATCTCGTTTGTCATAATGTTTTGTCGATTGAATTCAATTTGTTTATCTATAATGTTACATAAATCACATAAATCAATATTTATGTATTTGCATCTGCAATTTACTTAATTTTCAATAATTATGTCCCCAAAACGAAGTTTGGGAACATATTCTTTTTACTTTTTTTCCTTTTGTTGTTGTTGTTTCTTCTAAGGTACTTTTTTTTGTCTGCGAGTGTTTTCATAAACCACTCTTTCTATTGATATGAATTTTTAAGGGCTTATAAGTATGTTGTGTAGATGTGCGGAACGACATTCATTTTGCCCAGACATGCATGCATTTGCGGGCGCCTAATGCCTTATATAATCGAATTTATGAATTACTTTGAAACTCAGTGAATAATTTAATATTAGTAGTCAAGACAAGATGACATAGTTGAATTAGCAAAAACGCACAAGTATGCACGTGTGCTTCGTTCTGGTTGGCTGAAATCAAATCTAAATAACTTAATGTTTCTGAACAAAATATTATGAAATTGAAAATTTAAGTACATATTTAAAAATTCTAGAAAATGGCACATACGAAGTTTCCTGAAGACACGCACATGCACATGTGTTGCAATTTCATTATTACTAACTATTAATGACAATATTTTTTTTTAGTATACTCTACAAAACAGGACCAAATTTAGAATACAGATAAGTATAATGATTTCCTACATAACGATCTTATTAAACCTGTTTGCAAAGGCATGCATACACGTATGCTGAATTCTGATTGGTTAATTCTTTAATAACGGTAACTCTGTCATCAATTTAACACAGAAGTATATATTATGAGACTATCTGAGTAGGTATATGTGAATATCTAGGAAACACGTATGTGCAGTTACAAAATATGATTCACTAAAGCTGTAAATGGTTATAACTTTCTGTAGTTTAAAACGAAAGAAGACAAAATTCAAAGTTTATGAAAAAAGGACAAATCAGGGGAAAAAACAAAGGTTCATTGAAGCAAACGCTCTGAATTCTGATTGATTTTTAATATTTCGATTGCTGTAACATTTAAAGTTTTCAATGAAATTCTTCGAATTTTAAAAGGTAACTATATAAAATGAGATAATATTAAATGATATACAGTTGAACTTCGGTATCTCGAACACGGATATCTCGAATACCATGAATATGTTGAAGTGATCTGGAAGTCCCAAACAATTTTTCTATAAGTATTTTACCCTCAATATCTCGATCTTTCGGATATCTCGAAATGTTTTCTCGGTCCAATCGAGTTCGAGATAACGAGGTGTGACTGTATGTATATGACATATTTTCAAAATATGCGCATTTATATGAACAGAAATATAATTGACTAATACCCATATCTGCTTTGAGATCTGAAAAATGTACTTTGGTAAATATGTATAGTTTTATCATACTAAGTTGGCTAATTTATTAAAGAATGCAGGGAATGGGGCTTTACAAGGGAGTGAGGGAGCCGTTTGGGAAACATTTGTAACGATTAACGTTACAATAAGTACTAGTTGAATATTTTTTAAAATGCGTTATTATTAACTCATGCAGTCACAGTATTTAGCATATGCGAGATTTGTAGGATATAAAACTAAAAAGAGTTTGTTGTTGTAAATTTCTTTGCATTTTTTTTTAATTTATTTTCACCAATTCAAATAAATAATTAGATACCAATGAAAAAAAATGAAGATAACCGACAGCGATCGATCTAAAAAATAAA